CCCCGCGGAACCGTGCAGGATTGCCATGGTAAGTCACACCAGTCCACAGCGTATATATATATATATATATCACACAACGTTGTGCCTCCTCATCCACATATGATGACAGGTCTTAGAGCGGTTGATGGGATTGACCCTCGCTACAGGAGGCCAGTTTAAAGGACTGCAAAATGTTATATGGAAATACTGTTGTGTGCTGAGAGTAAACGTGTTTGCTTAAACGAAGCAGCTTCCTTTCCGTTTATAAAATGTGGCCTGCACCAACTACCGCTGTTTTACTCTGGGGCTGTTGTAGAGAATGACGATGCGTGCCCTTCTACTGGACTGTAGGGATCTTGCACCCACCCTTTCTTCTAGACGCGACGGCTTCATGACAGCAATGTGTTGGTGTAGTACAGCATCGGGCAGAGGGCACGAGTCAGGCACATCCGTACGCAAACTCGAAGATGTGGCTGAACCAGAATACGCACTTGTGGCACACATGATAATACCTTCTAACCAATGGGACTACTGTAGCTCTAAAGTCTGGTTTACACCAATCTTGCCCTACAGAATAACGATAGCTGTGATTACGCGACTTGTACGGTAATGTTACACACTCAGTTGCTTTCATATGTCTGTGGGTAAACCACTGAAGCAGGTCATGGATCAATGGTAGTTGAATACAGGCAATAGATGGCTTCCAGACTTGAGTCTTTTTGTACTTACACTGTGTAACATCCTGAGCAAATTTTGCTGTATGCTTATGGCAATCATATTTGTCGAAGCAAATGAACCTTGTCCTCTTCTTCTTAGTCATGTAACTGCTATATCTTCTGATTTCTTGGTTATCAGTATGAAAATAAGCTCCCCAGAACATTGGGGTTGCGTTTTGTCGCTCTTTCTCCTACGGATAGGGACAATGTTCTTTGTTTGAACATATTTTGGTTCAACCCATGTTTGAGACGCAGTCCTGGGTCCTATGCGCTGCAGGCGCCTGCGTACCAGGGAGCCGTGGCCTGTTTAAATGGACCCCTAGGCGTCTAGAAGCAGGCGCGGTGCAACAGAGCTGCTGGTATAAAGTGAGAAATTGATTTTTCTTTCTTTACACTGTACATGCGCCGTTATTTTTACTGCAAAAAATTCTTCACTTAAAGCTTCGTCATATAGAAGTAGTAGCCTGCAGTACTCAATTGTGATTATGTAATTACTGTACGCATATATTTAATGCATGTAAAAAATATTTTCCCGATTGAAAGCAACGTGCCGGTAATGAATTAAAATCGCTCAGAACATGCAGTGATGTATTTTGTGAAAATAACAAATTTGAAGTACAGCAACTTACTAGTACTTACTAGAGACGGTAAAGTGTTTGGCTCTAACCAGGCAGGCAATGCGATCGATCACCGGTAGGATTAGTCTTGTTTTTGCTTTTTTTGAGGCTGAAAAACTAGTACCACTCTGTGGGAAGGAAACAGGAGACTGCACACCACGCTTCCACATTGCAATTGACTCTGTCTTCAAAATAAAACTCTTGATTGATGGCATAGAAACGGAAATCAGTGCCAAACCGTAAACTTATGAAGATATACACTATAACTGGCCTTAATTGTGTTTGGGAGACCGATATCTCGACGACTATAAATAGAAACAAAAATCTAACTAACACCATTGGTTGACCAGGACTACAGTAATGTCGATGTCATACAAAACCAATCAAATGCCGACAGGTCAGTTACCTGATACGTCGTATATGCCATATTGTAAAATGGTTCAAACGTGTAATTGCCACATTTGATTGCTGTCGAGAAGTAAAATTTGGCCTTAATTGGTTGATTTAGAACGAAGAGTTACTGCGAGTAACGCTTACCTCGTCAACCTTGTTTTTGTGCATCGCGATTACGCCGAGGTTGCACCATGCCTCTACATAGTTGCTATTCAATGCCAGGCAAACGTTGAAGCATTGAGACGCCCAGGTCATATCGCCGAGGGTCTAAATTCAACAGTAAGTTGATGTTCGGCTATCATCATCAAAATGTATTGTGTAATTTTGTTAAGCTGCTATTTGACACATGATGCTGTACAACAGTAGTTTAGTTTAGCCGGGATGATGAGGCAAACGCCGTCCTCCAGTCAAGTATTTATCTGACATAGAAAATAAGTTAAGATAGCGTGTCCAGGCTGAATTTCCAAAAATGTCACCATCAGAACAACAGAGAATGTTATTTACCATTAGTTCTCTTTCTTTCAGAAATTTTGTCCACCTTACCAATGAACCACCATTGTCTATTCGTCAGAGTGAAAAGTGTTCTCATGCTTCATTTTGATTATCAATGCAGTTTGATAACTCTTAATTCTTCTCTCAATTATCTGCTGAAATAATTTCCAAACTTGATTCTTTGATTTAAAACAAAAAATTGAACCGTAAATATTTCAGCTCCTCTTGCGAATTTAAAACTGAAAAGGCTCAGCTACTTCTAGTTGCAGGTCAAGGCTCCATGGTATCACATTGGATTGAACAATGGTACCTTTGAGAACTAAGGAAATTTTCGACTATTCATAAGCAAATACACAGGCATATAACCCCGAGCTTCTGTTGTAGCTGCCACGAATGGCAGATTTCCATCTGATCCAGAAATTATTACGTTTTAGTTCCTGCTGGTGTTTGAACACGCCCAACTGAGATATGAGGCATTGTGTGTAATACATTTAAATGAGAGCTGTTTCAGTCATATTCCTGGGCGACAAGCAGCAAGGGAGGTGTCTTTTCGTTGTGTAAGTCTGGTATCAAGGACTTTAATAAAATATTTACCGATCGAACTGGAAAACTGCCATCAGTGGTAGCTACCCCTGGACGTTGGGGTTATACCTTATCCTATTCTGTTCATTAAGGGTAGATAATTTATGAAGAGGTTCACACGTGCATTAAATCGTTTTGTTTCAAGCTTTGTAAGTCATTGTTATAGTTTTCATCAGTAAATGTTTTAGCCATGTAAAGAGCGGTATTCAGATGATGGCAGCTGTAATATTTGCTATAATCAATGATCACCACTACTCCAGGGGATCAGGTTTTAAGAGAATAAACTACGAGAAGGAAACAGGATGAAAGAGAAGCAAAATAAGAAAATACAGCCAGAATGAATAAAAGAAAGATCATGCTGAAGAAAAATAAACGTGGAGAAAAGCGAAGTTAGAAGTAGGGAAAGTGAAAAGGGAAGAGAAAGTAAAAAAAATCCAGGATGCAAAGGTAAATTGAAGAAAAATAAGAAGAAGAGGAAGAAAGAAAAAACAAAGGGAATGCATGAGTGAAGGAAAAATAAAAAAATAGGAATTAGTGGAATAAAAAAATTCAAAGCAAAAGCAGAAGGAGATGTGCGAAAATAAATAAAACGCATAAAGAATTAAATGGAAAAAAAGCAGGAACATGGAAAGTGCCATAAAGATAGGAGGAAGAATTATATGAAGACAAGGCAACAGAGGAAGCAAAACAAATCTAAACAATGAAAAAGAAAATGAATAACAAGAAGAAGATGAAATGCAGGAGGATATGAAGAGGAGATAGGACATAAGAGCGGCTCAAAAAAAGGATGGAGAAGGAAGAGCAGGGGAAAGAATTGAGAGAAAGAGAAAAAGAAGAACTAAAACATGAACAAAAAGAAATGATTGAAGAGGAGAACCATTAAGAATATGAATGACAATGCGAAGAAATAAAGGAGCACCATCGTTACATAACCCATACACCTTAAGAAATCAGCAAAGTGATCATATACAATGTCTTGTCTAACTCTACAGTAATCCCCTTCGTGACCAGCCTGTCGTCAAATGATGATGAATGAAAAATGGTTTCCAAAGGTTGGGTTCGGAGAGCAGTCCCATATTCATGCAAATGAAATAATGATCAAAAGAATAAATCTGCCATCTATTTTCTAAAAGATGGACTGTTACAAATCCAGTCTCCAGTTCCTGATTCCTGACTCAATAGCTTTGGATCAGAGAGAATGTTGCGCTAATAACAAAATGTACAGCTGTGAAGCCTACAGACGAATATGGGCATCGAGACCATGCAATTGTGATCCTGTCAATTACTTACGACGTAGGATCAGTCAAGAATTTATGCAGTAACCTTGAAATCTTAAGCAGATTTACCATTTAGAGATTAACAATGGAAATAATGTCATCATAATCAGCATAGTTAACTGCCGGACAAACCTCTGGAAAATTTTGCACAAATTTCTTGAACTCTCTTGCCCTCAAGCCCGCCCACCGCCCATGTACTCACTTGAAACAGAGTCCTACGTATGGCTGGTCAAGAGATGGATCGTGCCCTGACCATTGCTTTGCCATCGTGACTCTTGCAATGAGATCGCTGATCGGCGTTTGTCTCATTTCTTTTCATGAATTTAACTTTATGCTCACATTATAGGGTGCGGATTATGGTTAAGGACAAATGTTGCATGCCGCAAGTTCGATGGTAGCAATTTTTTTCTTGCAACAGTGAAATCCTCAAACACTTGTCAATCACTTTCCGTTTTAAATAATTAGCCCACCCAGATCCATCATTGTACACTAAGACCGATAGGCTCCCAGCCTCTCTAAGATCTGTGCTTCCTTTCAGAGAGTGCTTACACCAGAATATGTTCAAGGCGTGATTAAAGGCAGCGCATCGAGGTTTGAAGGAATAATAACGTTTCGTACAATTTTCCCTCATCTGGAACACGTAGCCCTTGCAGCATTGTTTGTGCTTGAGGGTGAGAAAATTATCATCATCATCATCATCATCATCATCATCATCATCATCATCATCATCATCATCATCATCATCATCATCATCATTACAATCTTACAAACCTGAAGGTAGTTTAGGAATCATAATGTCGGCTTACCTCACTTCTTCACATTTTGATATTAGGAATCGTTCAGGGCGTCGACGAAGGAAAGATTACTCATCAACAACAGGTCCCAGTTTGTACTTTTGGACGACGTGTCAACGAGGTAGTGTTTAACCTCCTTCAACAGTGGTAAAACGAACCTTTTCATCACAAAACTATGATTCTCTGTCTTTATTGGCAGCTCAGTTTGTGAAGGAACAGGATGCTTATGAAAGAATGAGATCTACTGCAATATGGCAAAAGTGAAAGAAGAATTTCTCTTGATTTGCAATTTTACAGCAATGTAGTGTTAAGAAGATTGTTTTGTTTTACTGTGACTTGATGCAATACGATTCAGGCTTAGTTTTCCGATAGTTTGATATTTTAACTTCTTCCTACACAAATGTCGAATTACCGTACCATTGCGATATGCCCGACATTGTACCACAAATGGGCCAACGTTTCGTCGTCGTCAGCTAAATCCAAAGCCGTGTGGATGCATTTCAAAGCCAGGTCGTTTTGCTGAGCGTAGAAACAGCATAAACCAATATTAGTGAAGGTTTCGGCGCTGCTGAATCCCATCTGCAATATTCGTCTGAAAGAACAAAGCATCATCTTTGGTAGGAGCTCTTTACAGTAGGAAATTTCTATGATTTGTTAAGTAGCAATCTGGTTCTTCAGTGGTTCTAGACACAAGGAAATGACAGATGGTCATCTTTGCAAGGATTTTTGACGTTGCAGCTAATTTGGTTTCAGTAAAAGCTGCCATCCTTCTGTTTCATTGTGTCCACTGAAGTACCTACTTATTGAAGACAACAGAATTTAAATGAGTTTCAGATATCATATCAACTATTTGCCTACCGATGATTAAAAAGCCATGTGGTGTGCATGAATCCAAGTTCGAGTACAGGCGGCGGAAAATGGGCCACAGGCAATGTACAACATCCAGACGAGGTACGTGAACTCTTCTCCCCTCAATGGTTACTCATAAAGCGTATGCCTCATGGTCGAAGGATCACGGTTGCATTCAGGTCAGGTAATTTATCGCACATTTTTTCAGGTTAGATATATGAGTACTACTTCACTGAAAAAACTCTATTACTGTGCATGTGCTTGAAATACAACTGTAGATGATGCAGCCAGAAATAAGGCATGAGCTGCTCTGATCGAAGTGGAGGTGGGCACCAAGGAAAGTTTGTACGCGTGTTTTGAGATCATCACACTGAGCAGGTAACCTATATGTATAGGCATATCATTTATGGTTTGTTGTGCCATTAAAATTCACAGCATTGATAAACACTTGATATGAAACACTGGCTACCGGATGATAGATGGAACAATTCTTCTCCAGTAGCAGATCCACCGTCGTTTCCTCCTATGAACCTCTCCGGCATACAGGTCGACTTCGAGTTTTGGCTCATACAAGAGAAAACGAGAAACTCAGCGGATTCAATTACTTTGTTTGACAGGGTCAAAATTACGGTCTCAATCTGCATATGTACAGAGGGATTCTGTGCCTGAAAGGAAATAGTTTCATTCCTCACCTGGTTATGCCATCTAAGCTCTCAGTTTGCACCGCATTCAACGCTGTGTTGCGGTGTTCAGCAGCCACTGCTATTTCCTCGTTAGAATAACTCTCGCAGATGAGAGCGCAGAAATATTGGATTGACCAAGGCGAGGTACCGGCGGCTTTTGTGCAAGCGATTACACTTTTCTCCAGACATTGAGTACGTTGCCAGAAGTACTCAAAACGAGAACGATCTTTCAATTTAACCCTGAATGGGTGGCACCGTCGCTGGTGAAGATATAATAAAGATATACAATATGATGAACATATAATGCAGACAGTGAAAATCTTTAACCTCATTTGTCCTCTTTTCTTTGTGAAAATGTGCTAAATAAAGCGCATCACTTTCTCAGTGATCACTGTGCTATCATCACCCCGTATCACAAGTGTCAAACCTTGGATCCCCTCGGAAATGCATCTGGCACGAAAGGATGAATGGCCTATTTCTCGAACCAACTGCAGCCAACGAAGTGGAGCACCACAACGCCAGCTACGTGCCAGCCAGAGGTTGGAAAACTCTTCAGAACGATAGAAATTTTATCACGCTGTTCGCAATTGAAAAACACTTAACTGCCAGCCATTGAAACATACCATCCAGTAATGAATGCCGCGCCGAAACAAAAATTGCCTTTCATGTATTTGTATCAGATTACTGCTTCTCAGTGATTTGCTGCAATTTCTGTAGTTTTCATACTTAAGGACGTTGACACCAGTTGCATTATTTCAGGGCATAGGGAAACAAACTAGTTTGGCCTTAAAGTAGCCTTCTAGTGAAGGTTCAATCAGCACTGATATTCAAATATTGACAGGCTTTTCAATCATTACAGAACGATGGTTTACTGTTAACCAAAAAAACATGAGACGAGGAAGAAGAAAAAGTCTGCTCAGCTACCCCCTCTCTTTCCCAGTACTTTGATATACGCAGCGTATTTTATTTCAGCCACAACTTCCCCTTTGCATTCTTGGCTCGACGCTATAGAGTAATACAGTGTTGAGTCGATATCTTGAGGATATTCATTGCTAAATGCAATGGAGTCGAAACAGGCTAAACCAGGCCCCTTGGCTTCTAGAAATAATGGGGTCGTACAGTCCGGTGTAGTGACATGGATTGTAATCCTCCGCAGCAGTATTGACGCAAATCAATGATGGATGGCGTAAGCCATATGTTTAGTTTTCTGAACGAAAATGTGAGCCACCCCCCATTTGTCGCTTTACGAGTGAACACTGTCTGATGAACATCATGTCACGTGCCTTTTAG